GGGGGGGAGATCAGCTACCTACGCTATGATTGATCGATAGTGTCATCGAATACGCAATGAAATAAATATAACTCGCAACGTGTGGGGTGATTTCATTATCCAGCGAAAATTTCGAGGCTTATAAAACTGACTAAAAAGGGTGAAACACTTCATTATTTACTTTTTCAAAAAAAGATAATAGAAATGATAAAACTGCCCTGCTGCAATTATAATAATAATGAGAAGGGTTTGTCGTAAGGGGAGGGGGGCTGGTCTGCTGCGCCGTCGCGTGTGCCTGCTGCCATCCTCTCGAGCCTTCCCACGACATTGGCCGTCGTGGAGGCCCCCGCGCGTCGTCGTCGTGACGCGAACACGTGTCGAGCCTCCTTGCGCAGCGCTGCAGACCCGCGCGCGCGTGCGACTTTTGCCACCTCACGCTGCCGCTGCTGCTGCTGCTGCTCGCCAAACACGCCTGCCTCCTCCTGCCTCTCTTGCACTCGTCGTAGTGTAAGTACACTCGGCTGCTCGCGCGATGGCCGGGAGATAGAGAAGACGTAGCAGCGCAGCGCGCGGAGAGCACTTAGAGGTGTGAGAAGAACAGACGCGCGGCGTGTGTATGCGGGCGCCGCTGGTTATGGCCGAGAAATGAAGTAAATGGCGCCACCATCTTGAACCGGATTCCTTCCTCCTCTCTATCTTTCTCTCTTGTCTGCCATGCTTTGCTGCGCCACTTCATTGCGGCTTTAATGTGCTTTTTGGCGTCTTTGAGCGACGAGGCTTGTGCAACCTTCAATGCTGCAGAAGGACGCGCGAGTACACCAGCTTTTATAGACACATGCGGGGTTGTTTTTGTGGGTTTTCTGTAAAGTAATGTCCTCAATCTTGGTGGGAAAAGGGTAGGCAATCACGTGAGCCTGCCTTACATCGGGCTGGCGACACAAGTGCGCAGGGCAATGTGCTCTAATGGCATGCGCACAATCTCCGCCTATATGGTCGCCGCCAGAGAGTGATAATAACCGGGGATTATAGTGCGCAGGCTCGGCGTTACGGCGCAAACAGTAGTCGGCGCGCACACACACACACACACACACTTCGGCACACACACACAGAGTGCTCCTCTTCCCCTCCCTTCGCCAGATGCCCCCCTCAGCCCCCCTCATAAACCCCCCTCTTGAGGTGCAAGCGTCAAGGAGAACGGGCCTCTCGCCCGCCCTGCTGCTATACACAGTTTGCCATTCTTGTGCGACTCGCATAAACTCGATTTTTGTACGGCCCTTGTTACAATGAGCGGGAAGGTATAAGTAAGTAAATTGAAGCAGCCCCGTCGCTTGCTTGCGACCCTCTCTTTTCGTCTGATATCTCATTTTAACTCTGTCTGCCTTTTTATTTAAAGTTATTTCATCCCCCTCTCTTTTTTTAAGAGTGTTCACCTTTTTGTTTAACCCTTCGCGTATGGCGGGTGCCCTGCTCTTACCAAATGTCACAACCGCTGGCTCGGGGCCCAGTTCAGTTTTAGACAGATTGCCTTTCCCGATGCGCCCCCCGCGCCCACGCCCACCCCGGCCGACCGGAAGGGAAGGAGGGGGTCGTGTGGTGACCCGGGCTGCGTCGCCGTCGACCCCGCGCTCTCCCTCTCTCTCTCTCTCTCGCTCACTCTGTCCTTCGACCCCACCGGGGAGCGGTGTGGCGGCGCCGGCATTGTGCACTCGCTGGTGGTCGCGGACGCGTCCCGCCGCTGGCGCCACATGTTGTACACGAAGCCCCTCAATCCTTTGCGCACACTGCGGGGCCTGGCGCGCTGGGCCGTGGGCCGCCAGACGGTGTTAACACCTCCCCGCCGAGCCCTTCCTCCCTTCCCCTCCGCGCTGCAGCCCTCCGCGCCTATGACGCGCACTTGACCGCGCCGGCCGGCGCCACAACCGTCCTTCTAAAAAAATTAAAAATCCAAACTTTTTCGGGAAAGTATAAGAATTTTTGTAAAACAAAAAAAATAGTTAGAAATTTTTTAAAAATACAACTTTAATTCTTTTTCTTGTTTTGCAGCAGCACGCGCAACCCCCCTAAGTGCTGCTCGGCCAGACACTGGTGTCGCCATCGGGGAGCGCAATAATTGGGGAGTGGAGCTGCTCGGTGAAGGGAGGCCGTCGCAATGATGAGCACCTTGTCGACACCAGCCGGGCGGGTGGTGGGTGACAGTTGCCTCTTTCTCTTTGTGTACACGTCTTTCTCTCTCTCTCTCTCTCTCTCTCTCTCTCTCTCTCTCGCTCATCATACCACGTTGCCTCTCGCTCTCTGTCTCTCTCATTACGTGAGCACCTCATCATATCGTGAGCGCGTTGACACGTCGTATAGGGCCCCGCCGTGTGTTGGGGACTCGCCTGGGGCGGGCCCGGTACAGAGGAGTCGTGTGTGTGAGCGAGAGAGAGAGAGTGAGAGTCTTACAGGGCGGTGAGGGAGCTGGCACACACGCAAACACATTGTCGGTGCACTCCAGTCAGTCCCTCACGCCCGACCAGTGACACACACACTCTCACACGAAAGCCTTTAGCATTTTTGATGTTGACTGTACAACGAGCCACGCGCCCCTCTCCCGCTCCCCTCACACGTGACACCTGCCGCCGTGGCCGTGGCCCGCTCTCCCCCTCTATTCCTAGGGGTCTTTTATATATTCGTTTTA